CGTACAAGCAGCAGACGCGGCTGACTGGAGGCCGTGCGATGTGGCAGAGCCGCCCAAGACGGCTCTCCGGCGCGCGTTCCCAACGCACCGCCTGCAAGCGGCCGGGGCACGGCAGCGAAGAGTGTCTCTTTACTGCTGACGCTCCTGTCAACGGCGTTATGGGCACTAAGAACTGCCGTTTCCCTGCTGCTTGGAAGTGCAATCTCCAGTGCATCTGATCAGCCCAGCATCATCTGCGTGATGCTACATGGCTGCTGATATACTGCCCTCCCTTATGCTCCTTTCTAAAGAAAGTAGTTGGATAACCCTACCAGATGTAGTATAGGAATGTTTAAAGAACAACTAAGAAGTTCGTTGCAGAAAGTCTTGTTATAATTCTGCTAAACAATATGGACTTACTGCTTATCAACCTTGCACATTTTAAATAAAAGTATGAGCAATGTACGGGGAAAACACGGGCAGTAAAAGCAGATTTACTATTGATGTTCCTAAACAATTCAGTATCTTTAGAGCAGGTTTATTCCCCTGCCTGTGCTGTTCTATAGTATTTGATCAGCACATTCATTCTAGACAAAGAATCCCTTGAACATACTTTAGCATGTGAAATCTTGGCACAGAGAAAGCTGGAAGAGGAGAATGGCATTTTTGGTTTTACATTTTAATGTATTCTTTTAATTCCCTTAAAATGAAAACTTATGTGTAAGGAGCAGTATTAACAAATGGATCGGTGGACTTGAGCTCCTTTAAAATGATCACATCCTCATGCCCACAAGGTCTGTGGTAACTAAAGCTATTAGGAAAATGCCTAGACGGAATTTTGTGTAGAACAAGCTTTTGCTGCAAGTCAAAGTTCTAACACAAGTAGTTGGTCGTTTTAAAAGTCCGTCTCGGTCTGTTCTCAAAACCTTTCACAGACCATGCACCGGTAAAACCTCAAGAAATGAGTGCACATAGCATGAGCAGCCAGTTAAACATGGAACTGGAAGCACGTTGCAGTACTTAATTCAATCTACAAATTCGTTTTTAACTTTGTAGAGAGAAAGCTACAAGTAGCCCAAATGTAAGGTAGAGATTTGTTTTCATACCAGTGTTCATTTCTGCAGTGAGTGTTGCTTTCTTTATCCCTGGATAAAGGGAGCATATCGTGCCAGCAGGCAATCATCAGTTGTGTGATTGTATGCACTTAAAAAGCTGAAAGCCTTTTTGTTACCAAATTTAAGTTCTAAGATACTTGCAAGCATTTAGATTAGATTGAGGAAAATTATTGAAGTATGAGATCAGAGGAGAGTAGTCTACGGTGACAAATTTGCCCTTTGATCTCAAAGGAGGGAAATACAAATGTACACTCAGATGGAGACTGTATTCCTCAAATAAAGGAAACTTTTGTTGTCATCAGGTGTCCTCCTGAAGTTTTTAAAAAATAAAGATGTCAGAGTCAACTTCATCTGGAATGGTTCAAATAAGAACTGTTATGTTTAGGAGAACCTCCCCATTCTTAATGGCATTATATTTTTGTTATATTAGTTTTTTTATTATACAGATGAGTTATGTTGCCTTTTATAAAGCCTTTAGTTTTTGAACTAGTTGTGTCATCCAACCTGGAATGTCTTCAGTTAAAAAGGGGAAAAAAAAACCCTCCTCATTAGTCCCCCAGTTCCCAATCCAGTACCTGCCTTGCTAGGTACTGGAACACATAAATAACACAACTGAGCAAAATTCTCCGTTGCCCACCTCTGTACTGAAATAATTCCCCAGACCGAGGAGTTGCAGTAGTATAATCAAGAATGGAGTTTTTTTACCAATGTCCATGAGATTGCTTAGAGATATACCCCAATCAGGGCTGAGCAAATACTTCATAAGTCACAATAAAATACCTGATTTGTCTTGTAAGAAACCTGCTTCGTCTAAAAATCAGTGTGAAGATTACTCTCTGAAAAAGTATTTTACTGTAAACTGGTAAACTTTTTTAAAAAGAGAGTACCTGAATGCTATTAGTAATTTCTGTCATATTTTAACTAGTAAGCAGAAAAACTTGCATTCATTTTACTGTAAAATAAGTGGTGGGACTTGCCAAGTGACTAACTCTAAACCTTCTGGGGTAAAATTATTATCTAAGTATTTTTGTGACTAATTAAGGCCTTAGTTCTGAAATACACCTTCATTGTAATAGGATCATCAGACAAAATCACGCTATTATCGTGCATGAAAATAATAACAAGCATCTTCACAATGGTCATGATTTGTTGCCTGCCTGTTTCCACTTCTTAGTATGAAAATTCTTTACTCATGAAAATATGTGCACTCGTTCCAGCCAGGTCAAATTCTGCCCTCTGATGTCTTCACTCAAATCCCACTGAAGCAGGTGGGAGTTGCGTGCACGCTGTGAGCGCAGATTTTGGTCCAAAGCACCCAAATGAAATGTTTCAGCAATATACTTAGAACAAATTGGCTCTTGGACCATAAAGATACCTTAGTTCTCGATGGAAGTTCGGTAGCTTTCTTCCTACGTGCATGATCCCTCACTGTGGCATCACATTTAAGGATCACGGCTCCTGTACCCTAACTGGGGTATTTCTGTGGTATGGTTTAGAGAGACTCAACTTGAACATTGTCAGTACAGCAAACACCACATGCTGAGACGTTGTACTCTAAAGCCGCTCATTTGGCACAAGAAGAGGGGTTTTAGCACCAAAAAAACCCTTCTAGCCTTACTAAATACTATGTATTTGACAAATTTGTCAAAAAATGCATTTATCCAAATTATACACGTTTTTAGTGTGAAGTTTTCCTATGATGATTTGGACCTCAGTCCTGCAAAGACTTAAGAGGTGTGTGAAACTGTAGATGTGAGCAGTGTTTAGAGCTGCCACCACAGGACCAGCCGAGGGAATTGTAACGCTGAACATTGTTCAGATCTGTAGAACTGGGACGTTCTTTCTCCGTGGGTAAGATGTAATTAATTAGAGATTACAAATTACCACATCACCATATCGTTGGCAGATAAGTACGCTATCAACATTACTGGGGGGTGACAGTGGTCATTGCAAACACTTATTGGTGGTGGTATGAAAAAGATGAAATGATGCTTGGATCTTTCTAACTAGAGTGTTTGAAAAGATCCTGAACATTTCTTAAAGATGCTCGTTACTGCAATTGCATGTAGCTGAAGACCAATTAAATTATCGGTGTTTTAAGGCATTTCTGCATGACAGAAATGATAAAATACGATCTCCTAACAGCAAAGCAATGACAGCCAGCCAGTTTTCCAAATCTCCTGGAATGCCCCAGTTGGATAAATGAGTGCTATTGCGATGCTGAACTACTCCACATTTGTGAATTAGTTTGCAAGATTTCAAAAATGTATTTGTTTTGGTGGCTATAGTTAGTTCATCCAGATAGTTTAAGAAGAGAAATATATATATTTTCATTCACGGACCAGATGTTAAGCACTTCCATTTTGCATCACAGTTACAAGAAGTCAAGTTACTTGTAACAGGACAACCTTCAGATTAATTTTAACTAGAGCTTCTCTCTCAGTTCTCAAATTATTAGCAAGCTATTTTTAATGAAATCATAGAAAAAGCAAAGTCACAATCTGAGGGAGTTAACAATGCGATACAGGGGCTCCTTGTAATCAAATCCTGCTTTGGTGCATATGCACAAGCCCTGAACTTAGTTATTTGCCTACAGCCGCCACCACCAAGGCAATGCATTTCTGAATGTCTCTGTACCTCTTCACTCCTTGAAGCCCTCGTTGTGACATGAAATTTGATTTTGTGAATGCACCGACTGCATCCAAATGACCAACTTTTATGTAAGGCAGATTTTGTTTGCTGGGGGAGGAGGGAGAGTTCTTAAAAAAAGTCCTAACAGCTATGGATACTTACCAAAGAAAAAATCCTATCCCTTTTGCTTTATCCTCCTTCAAGGCCTGAGTGTTGGGAATATGTTCTATGTCTTTTCTGATGATGGGATCACAGTCCTTCAGCCAAACGAATGTGAAATCCGGAGACACATCAGGCCCGAAGAGAGGATTTTCACAAGTTATGTAAGTCCTAAACACAGCAGCTACAGCCAAAAGCTGGGAAACTTTCCCTTAATCTCTTCAAAGGTTGTTAATGCTAAAGGACCGTTTTTACACAGTGATGTTGGGTCTTGGTGGGCTTCATGGGGCATCCCTGAGGTATATCATCTTCTTCTTTTGAAAATTAAGGAAACCACCTAAGTTATAAGACTGACATGGAGGATTACTGGCACGCTGCAGAGAATTTGACTAGTTATCATGTCAAAATGTAGGTAAAGACTTTAATTTGTCCTGTTCTAACTGTTTATGTATCCATGCCTGTAAATTGTAATTGGGCTGTAGGGAAACAGAGAGACGCATACATCACTCGCTGGTGCTAACTGATGGCCCCTTTTACTGATGGCTCCGTAGACGAAGGAGTGGGCTACTTTCTGCTCCTGAGAAATAGTTTCCCAGGTTAAACCACAGCAGGGAGGCGAAGTAAGAATGCACAAAGATGGTTGTGCCATGCTGGTCCTCAGCATCTTCTGCCGCTGAACCAGAGACCAGCGCCATCCTTGTACAGCATTTTCTGCCAGCACTGAGTTTACTTAACCCTTGCTTTAGGATATCACAAGGGAAACATGTTCAGGTGTCAGTGAACGTCAAGCACTGGCTCGTACACAGTGGAGCTCAACATGGCAAGTGGGATAACGTGTGCCTGGAGGCCCTGTTATTTTTAGTGACCTGTGCTATGTACTCCTGCGTGGTAACATACACCATGTATATGCTCGTGAAACTATCAATTCTCATAAAAGGCAGGTGCTGAAACAGATCCAGAAACGCTTTTTTAGGCACTTCTTTGTTAAAAGGGGAGGCTGAGAACGTGGCTCTCTTCTGAAGAAAAAGACTCAGCCTTGCTTTCAATTCTAGGAGGAATAAAAAGCGAGAATCACTATCACGAGCCCTGTGGGCTGGGTCAGGCTCTGCTGCCATGGTTCAAGATCCTCTTGTGAGTCTGTATTCAGTATTTTTTAAATTTCAATATATTTGTGGTTGATACTGGGATTTTTTCTGCTGGATTTTAATATACCTTAGTCAAAATCCAGGCTGATGCTCACCCCAACACTGGTCCTTAGCATGGGCTTAATATTATTAAGCTACACTTGAGCTGTTGCTACTCAAAGACAGAAATCTTGTGTTTCTTTTCCACAGACCTGTAAATATTGAAGAGGTGGTTCTGGAGAAAAAGCATGAAGAGAACAAAGGAGAGAGGGCACTTAAGGAAATAATGTCAGCACAGTGGTGTGCATAAAAGGGATTTTTAACGTCATTGCTTGGCTTCCTTTCAGAGAGACCTCTAAGGGTTTCCTACAGATATCATAGGACCTTTTGCCTTGGGACTTTTTTTCTTCCCTTTTCCCTTTTAGTATCTTGAGTGTTTTCCACATAGACGGTGATACCAGCCTGCAGCTTTAGGAGACTTTCAACAACAGAAGTTTCTTCGTTTGCTATTAGAGGGCACAAAAGCAGATGGAGCAGCTGCAGCCAAGCACTGCAGCAGAAAGGCCGGTGACCTTTCCCTGCTCCCGCTGGTTTCGGTGGATGCTGTGTTGTGAGAGCCCAAGCCCCAGTGCACAGCTGAGGATGAGGAGGGCAGTTTGGAGGCTGTTGGGTGCCTGGCTGTGTGAACAGCTGCTGGAAGCCCAAGGCTGGGCTTTTGTAGCATCTTAGGCACTTCTTTGTTTAGGTTTTTTTTTAAAAGGGGAGGCTGAGAACGTGGCTCTCTTCTGAAGAAAAGGACTCAGCCTTGCTTTCAATTTTAGGAGGAATAAAAAAAACGAGAATCACTATCATGAGCCCTGTGGGCTGGGTCAGGCTCTGCTGCCATGGTTCAAGATCCTCTTGTGAGTATAGACAGTGGTACTACTGCTACTTGAAGTAGATCCCCAGTCCGGCTGGAGGGCCAGGAAGGAAAATGCAGCCGAGCTGTTGAGTCTTGTTGACCCTTACACATGGTCTCCACTGAGGTACCTAGCTGACGGAGCTGTGCTGCTTAGAGGTGAAATCTTTTTATCCATAATCATCACTCTGATACAGATCTGGTGTTGGCATTGTTGTTTCTTGTACCTCCTCTTCCCCTGAACAAGCTCTGCCGCTCTCATCGCTTTCCCCTTAGGGAGGTTGTGCCATTATTTAAAGTGACCCAGCTGTTGTCTTGACAAGATTTGAAACTAACAATTGTGCTCACTGAAATATATGTGTTCATTTAGTTTTACCCTCGTTTCCACACCACAACCTGGTCCCACACAAATGCTCTTTCAAATAAAGCAACTCGACAGAAGGAAGAGCCGTGAAGAGTAGCCAGCCTGCAGAGGCTTGTTGGTGAGATCACGTGTGACTCTTCAGACTTAGGGTGCCAGTGGGCTCCCACTAAAGCTTTTGCACAGGACTCAGTGAGTGGAGGATCAGAGACAAAATACAACATCAGAGAGTTGTGAACAGGATTTGGTCCAAAGTAGCAGGATTTGGTTCCTTTTAAACAGGGGAAGTTTCTGTGTGGGAGCAGTAGACTGTAGGACCCTACAAACAAGTAGGGTCCTACACTTCTACTACTACTGCTACTGTTTCCCTGAGCACAAACATCTTAGAGCATGCTCTCCTGAGCTGAAAATGAAGACTTTATAAAAAATATAAAGCTGTGATTCAATTAATGTAAATCACTGTTTTTTCCAAGCGCAGATTGATATTTCTACTGCTAATAAATGCTGACAGCACTGCAAGTCTTGGTGAACCATGGCGTACTTCAAAAGATAGATCCATAGACTGCGTGGTTATTTAAATTCAATGTGAATTTGCAGGAGGTCCAGCTGTTTAATGTCACTGGGTAGAGCCAGGCTGCAGTGTGGTACCTGACAAAATAATTATTTCATGTTTTCCAGGAAAGAAAGGGGGAAAATATCATCCTAACAGAATCACCAGAGAATTTTTTCCTATGCTTTTCCAGGCTAAGCTTCTTGCTGCCTCAGGCCCTGAACTTGTAGAAATTAAACCTTTTCTCCTCTTCTGTCTTTTTTTTCCCCCTTCAGGAAGAGATCTGTCCTAGAGTGGAAGGTGAAGGCACTCAGTCCTGCCTCTGGGCTTCAGCGGTCAATGTCAGAGACAAGTACATTTATGTGACACAGCCTAAGCAGAATAGAGTAATCATAATTGATATCCAGACTCAGAAAGCCATACAGGTACTTACAAGGGGAACTCTTTATTCACTGATGGCAAAAGACTTGATACGGGACAAAAAAAGAAGGTCTTTGCCAAGTGGATCTGCTGACATCACTAAAGAGTTGGGCCTGTGTTGCTTTTACCTATGAGGCCACACTGTGTCGTTTGCTGTTCTGTAACCTCACTGGCAGGAAAAAACTCCTTTATGGGTTGGATATCATAGTCTCGGGGCTGCATTTGCAGCCAGGCTTGCAGCTAGTGTGGTAAAATAATGCTAGGACGAATTTCTGGCTTATGCGTACTGAGCTGCTGCCTGACCTCGGTTATAAGCAAGTTGGGAAGGGTGAACTGGTGTGGGTATAATTCAAGCAGAAATTGGCCCCTGACCTACTGGCTATAAGCAACAGCGTAAGGGCGAGTGACGTCTAGCCGGAAGATGGCACCGAGCAGGCAGATTTTTGTGCTGCTGGTGCTGCTGCTGATCCCCCAATTGATTTGAAGGCAAAGCTGCACAAATGAGTGTAGCAGTGATGCACGGGAATGTCTGCGGTAAACTACTATAGTATTCATCATGTGCATTTGGGTCACGATGTAAATACCTATCTCTGTTTTTTTTAAGTCCTTGGATGTTGACCCATTACCAACCAAATTACATTATGACAAGTCCCACGACCAAGTCTGGGTGCTTAGCTGGGGTGACATGCAGAAGTCCTCACCAACGCTGCAGGTAAGTCCTTATGCGTCTGAAGCTTTGCCCTTCCTTGGCTTGGCATCATCGGTAGCAAGCTGGTGGCTGATTGGTTGCAGGTAATTAACAGCATTTAATGGCCTGGATTTAAAGCTGCTCCTTCATTTGCATATCTAGTGTGTTTTATTCCTCCCTCCTCTGTCCATCCTCCCATATTTTTCCTGCCGTTTAATTTGTTTTTGAGCAATGACTGTGCCGTGGGCTGACAGCAGGACGGCTTTGTTGCCAAGGTCTGTTTTGCTTTAAGGCTGATGACAGAGCCAAGTGCCATAGAGTCATACAGCAAGGGCTGGCAGCCGACTGCGAGCAGGATGAGCCTGCGACGCTCCAAGTCGTTTGTGCAGCCTGCGTGAGTGCAGCTTCTTTTTAACTCGCTTCAGGTCTAAAAGCAGTGGGTACCAAGAAGCCACAAAGAATATACTTTCTGCATAGAAATCTGTTACTCTTTAGGCTATTGGTAGTGTTTCATCGGAGGTGTAAGTCAGGCTGAGCAACCCATTCAAGGATAAGCCTAAGGTAGGGACTACGTGTGTGTTCACTGCAGAGCTGCAGCACACCCTTCTCAGATGTTATGATGACCTGCAGATTTTTCTGTCTGCAGAGTTTGGGAGCATTGCATGTAAAAAGAAACATTAAAAGGTGAATGTGTTGTGCAGTGCCTCAAGAGTCATGCCTCTTTCAGGATTACTAGCCTAGCACCCTCGTTATGCATCGGGCATATTCACCGGTTTGGTAAAGGCATTTACCTCCTTTTATCTTCCACATAGGAGAAGCCCAGGTTTTCTGCCGGTGCACTGAATTGCTACTTATTTTCTTTAAACTCATTTTGTCATTTGCCTCTCACAAGCCTTCAGCCTCCTTTTGGATGATGATGGAGACAATGTGGTAGTATTGTTCCTCTTACAGTAAAATGCAAAAAGGAGCTCTCTAGGGCATGAAAAAAAACATAAATAGCAAAAGTAAAACCTCAGGGACAAATTCTTGTTGGGTGTCAGAGAGGTCCCTGAAGCTCCTCCATGCTCAGCACCGTCAGACCCACAGTGATCTTGGGGCACAAGAATGCGCGTATAGGTTTGGACAACTAAATTAACTTCCATTTGTGGATTGCCCTGGAGGAGTCACTCTTCTGTTGATGGTACAGAACCGCTAAGTGTAGGCATCTAATTGGGCATTTTGCTGCTGCTGTGTGTCACACAACAGACTCGACACCAGAGCTGATTTGATCCATCCACCAGCCATACCCTTCTCTAATAGTTATTTTCTGGCACTTGCTGCCCAGCCTTTCCGGAATCATAGGTGTCATGTGAATACTCCTTCCACCAGAAATGTTTGCTTCCAAGTCTACATTAAAGCATTCCCCAACAGGCAGAGAAGAAGGAGGGCCATGCTTTCTGACCTAAAAACCTACAAATCTGGAGTCTGCGTTAGTCATGGCATTGCCCAAGGTTTCGCTGGAGATGGTGTCCCATGAAGGTGGGACCAGCCATCCCCGCCAGCCACATGCTTCATCCAAGATAGTGGCTGAAGCCTGCAGACTTTCGATAATAAAGAATGGACCAGCAACTCAACACGGGCATTTTCAGGAAGACTCCAGAAACAGAATGGAGGCAAATAAATGAAAGTTTCTGAGGCAATGCCACCAGCTTCTCTCACCTGGGGATGAGCAGTTTCCTGTACAGGGTATAAGGAGACAAAATGGGCTCTCTTTACCCTTTCTGACTTAATTTCTTCCATCCAGCTGTGAGAGGTTTCTCTAATTAAAGGAGAGATGGCACAAGCATGTGATTATTAAGAAGGACACACCATCTGCACAGCTGGAAACTTGTTATAAGGCTCCAGCTCTCAGATAGTCCTTTCTGTTATCTTTATGAAGTGCAGTTACACATGTAGAGAATGAGATTAGCATCAGCAGATACTTTCCTTTTTCCGACCTTCTTTCCCAAAAGGTGGGCAGTGACTAATTTGGCAAAGTTTGTCCTTAAAACCTGCAGTGTTTAGTTGCCGACAGGCAATAAAATATCTTTTTTCAACAAAGATGCTACTGCAGAGGTTGATCTACATTCCCACTCGTTCTTTGGAAGTCAGAGATGTATCAAACAGCCCGTGCAGCCCACTAAAGGGATGCTGTTGTTTCACCATTACTGGCTTGTGGGAAGCAAGTGTCTGGCCTCATGAAAGCACTGTGTGGGCATCTTTCTTGAGTAATCTAATTGGAAGAAATCTAAATGGCACAACCAGAACAGCTGTCTGAACTAAACCTTGTAGGCTTTTAGCATTTCCTTGATGAATTATGTAGCTATAAATTCAAAGCAACTACTTTTGCACATTAGAGCAGAAGTTCCTAATGAATGGACTAAAGTCATCGTGAACCGAGCAAACAATTTGAGTGTTTGACATTTTAATTATTGAAAACTTCTGCCTCTCCTTTTCCGGAGTGGTGGAGGAGCTGAGTTCCCATGGCCATGGAGGTGTGCACTGTGCTGGAGGACAGCAAGGTGGGGGATAGCCAAAGGGCCTTTCTCTGCTCCTCCCTGAGTTTCATATGGTGTGGTAGATGGATGAACAGTTCTTCTCCTTCAAAGTGATAGTTCACTGCTGTGAGTTAGTGTTTGATCCTTCCAGCTGGTAAATTATCACTGTGCATTTAAGTGAGATTAATAAATATGACCATGAAATAATTGTTTGTTTTAGACCATGAGGAATAAATAATTATGGTCTTAGTGTTGTCACACTACTTCAGCTCCTGCATGACTGCTCTTTCTCGAGATACTAACATCTTATGAAAGTCAAGTTGTGTACTTACCTTACAAATGTCAAACCTCAAATACTATTTATTAGCACACCTTTTTCAAGACAGCTACACCAAATACTATTTTGAAGTCATTAATCAATTTGAGTCTACTGCAGCTCTGGGAGAAGCCACTTGGTACCATGTACGACTATGTAATCTGTATTTACTTTCTGCCTGACTCGCTGCGCTTCCTGTACTCAGCCTTGTGTGTATTTATTGTAGGTAATACCAGAGGCAAGTGCAGGGGAGGATCAGCAAGTTATCCGCACACCGTTTGAAGGAGTGGATGATTTTTTTATACCACCTACAAATCTTATTATTAATCACGTTAGGTAAGAAATTACTGTAATGAATAGCAACGGTGACCATGCTGCTCTCTTCTAGTGGGCATCCTTCTAATAACCTTACAGCACTTCATAGATGTGAATGAATGAATTCGTGACCAAGCTAACTACTCTTACCTCCATTTTCATGTGTGAAATGGAGAAATGGTTGAACAAATTACCAATAGTTATTCAGTAGATCAATGAAACAGCAAGAAACAAACCTGGACTTTCCTTAGACCATGAATGGGCATTCAAACCTCAGCTTGGTCAGCCGTGCCTCCTCGCAGCAAAGTACGACACACTGCCCTTGCTTGATTGTGCCGGGAATTTGATGGCCAGAAGTTTGTCTTCCCTGCCTCAAAACTGCTTTATGGATCTGGGCAGAAATCTATGTCAGACACTGCCTGAAGTGCTAAAAGTTTATTCTGCCTCAAGCATAAAGCGTGGTTCTTCCACATGTTTCCAACTTGTTCAAATATTGGATCTCTGTGTGAGGTGTACAGTTTGAGCAGAAAAATGGTATGCACTGCATATTAAAACAAAAACACCTCTATGAACCACCAGTTTTGAATGTTAATGTGATGTAGTGGTTAATGAGATTGTATAACTAACATACTAATAACTTGGAGTAATACTGGCTGCTTCCCAGCAGGCACAGGAAGCCTCCCATTAACATTATCTAAATTGATGATAACTGCACGGCAATTCATACTATTCTTACTATATTATAAAAACTGTTTAACCATCTTCTGTCCCCGGTATAGTTTAACTAAGTTAAACATTCAAAAAATCATAATGAAACTCCTTCCATTAATCTTAGGTTGCCTGCAGTGAACACCGAGGACGGGGGGGATCACACTTAAATGATTACGTGTTGAATCTGATCCAAAATAAATAACTTTGCTTCCTGAAATGCAAAATAATGAGACGTACTTCATGGCTGTCATTCTTAATTTTTCCCTACTTCATTTTTCCAGTTTGCTTTCAAAATATCATTATGACTAATAGCAGTGCCAGGAGCTAGATAACTCTGCTGAATATTAAAGCTTGAGCTGAGAAGGTGTGGTCTGGGTTCAAAGACAGGAAGGTGGAACAGTTACACTTTTTTTTTGTTTGTCTTACTGTCTTTTTGTTTCAGTGTGATTAATCTGCTGTGTACAGATGATCTTCTGTAAGAAATATTAAATGTAGATAATTGTCTATAGTTTTCCATGTGCAAAGCAGAGAATGCTGTGCCTAATTTCCTATTTCATTTGTTCAGGGCCAGCTCTTTGTCCTTTCTCTCTCACCCTCAGCACAGAAAAATAATTGCTCGCAGTCTAATGAGACTTACTGAAATCATGTTCTAAATTCTCCACTCAGAAACAATAAATGGCAATACCAGCATTTCCCAGGAAGGTGAATATTTAAGCAATCTCTTCCGCAAGCCAAAAAAATATTTGTATGCAAATACTCCTGCATATGTATTTCAGCTGTCTGTTATTTCAGATGGATATCTAGGAATGTATCCATTTTTATTAGTTCCCAGGGTAGATTGTTGTCTATTAAAAACTCTCTAAGTGCAAGGTTTTCTTTGAGATTTGAGATCACACATTTCATGCAAGCACTGCACCTCTTCTGCAGCTGTGTGCACATAAAACACATTCTGACCCACTTTTTTAAATTAAAGTTTATGATAAGAACCATTTTTTAACTTCTTCAGGCATTTGGCCAAGTATTAAGGAAGTCTTGGGGAAAAAAAATGCTGTAAGGGAAAGCATTTTTTAAAATGTACTTAAAATGCATTCATCCAGGAGAGATACAAGTGTCATATCCAATTTCCCCACACACACAGTGCACTAAGAAGCTCCACTGCGGATATTTTCTGGAGTCTCTAATGGATGTGAGTATAATGGGAAAATGAAAGGCTTAGCCGAGTGATTTTCATGGGATCATACACTACATTGGCTCGTTCTTTAGAAGTGAAATCATTGCCGAGCATCTCATTGACAGGTGGATTAAGAATAAAGAAATAAACCCAGTGTTTTAAGAAAAATACATATTATCTGCACACAAGCACGTTGTCCTCCGCATTTCATAAAGCAATTTTACATCTTTCGGGGAAGAGAGACAAAACGAAGCACTCCATTTCCTTCTGTCTGCACTGAATGGATGAAAAGATACTCGATGTAAAACGAGTTTTCGTAAGTCAGTACCAGTGACCTGTGAATCCAGGGAACACAAACAGGCTGTTTCTATGGGCTCCCTCTCAAATTAAGCAGAAACCTTTCTTGGCTATTCTTGACCTTTTCTTGTCTTCACCAAAGGTCAGATGTGCTGCAGCATATATCTTTTACAGAACATTTATTCTCTGCTCACTGTTGTCTGGCCTCTCTTGAGACAGAAAACAAAGACCCCTTTTCTTCAGTGCACCCTGTTCCTCGAGAAATGTTTTACACCTTCCCTGTGCTGGTGGGACGGTGCTTGACAAAGTCTGCTCTACACCTCAGCCTTGCCAGCTCCTGCAGTGGTCCCCAGGCACCACAGGTACCCTCTGATTCTGTAACCTAGGAGATGAGGTGGGATGTGGTCTAGACTCAGTGGTTATACCTGTAGCTCGAAGTTGCTCTCTGGACCCGACTTGGCAGGGATATGCTTTATTTTTAACAATTCTCTATTCTGAGAATGAAAAAGTCTTGAGTATATATTGAATTACATCTCTTTAGACCTGAAACAGATTAAATACAAAACTGGCCAACGCTACCCCACAAAACACCCAAGCCTTGCTATTATTCCTATTGCAAATTGATCTTCCCAATAAAAAGTTTCAGCTCTTGAAGATGTTATTCAAATGTCCAAGCACATATTCAAGCTTCCAGGATCAGGTTGCTAATTTTAACTGAAATATATACCTCCTTTTAGCACCTTTTAAAAGCACTAAAACAAGAGGGATTTTTTACAGTAAAGAGACAGCATTATTGCACACCCTTCCGAAGACAACAGGATAGAGTTTCCCAGTTCTGCTGACTTTGGTCTTTTCTCAAGCATAGCACCGTGTCTCCAGAGATGACTTCAGTGTCATGTTTTCTGTTTCAGGTTTGGCTTCATCTTTAACAAATCGAAATCCGCAGTTCACAAAATTGACCTGGAAACTGTGACCCACATCAAGACTATCAACTTCAAAAACTATAGCTGCGTTCCGCAGACCATGGCTTATACCCACCTGGGCGGTTACTTCTTTGTCCAGTGTAGGAGGAATAGGCCGGTGGCGGCATTGCCACAGCTCGTTATTGACAGTGTCACCGATGCCGTCATCGGCCCCAACAGCGATGTGTCGGGCACACCTTATATCTCACCGGACGGACGCTATTTGGTCAGTGCAGATGAAGACAGTGGCAGGATCAAAGTCCAGGCTCTAACTGTCCGAGGGGAAATCAAGTTGATATATGACTTACAAACAAACGTACACGTATCTGATCTGACATTTCAACCCTCTTTCACTGAAGGCAATCAGTACTATATATATGCTACTTCACATTTGCAAGCAGATGTGCTTTTTGTAGAGCTGTCAACGGGGAAAATGAATGTACTGAAGAATTTAAAGGACCCTATCACGTCCAAAGACTGGCCCTGGAGCAACTACAACAGAATTATGAAGGACAGTGGATTATTTGGACAATATCTCATTACACCAGCTAAAGATTCTTTGTTTGTTATAAACGGGAGGCAAAATACGTTACGCTGTGAGGTTTCAGGTATAAGGAGGGGTAACACAGTGGTCTGGGTTGGAGAGGTATGAAAGGGCAATAGCAGTAGAGCCTTTGGCGGGCAAGTACCAGTTGGACCTTTACACTGCAACAAATGAGCAGTAGCATTGTATATTTTTACACTGGGAAAAAAAAAAAAGAAAAAACAAAAAACCCCTGTATAGGCTTCATGGTACAACACTGGTCTACTTGCAAGTTTTATAATATAAGGTATGCTCTGCTAATAGGAAGTGGTTTTGAAGGGATATTTTTTATTTGGGGGTATGATTTGTGGTTATGAGAAAAATGCTGGGAAGCGAATAATATCTCCACTGAGATATGTATAAGCCACGAAACCTAGTGATTCTGTAGAACAAAACAGATTTTGAGTTTCCATACTGAGGAGCTTTTATGTTATGTTCAAGACGTCAGTTTTCTTTCCTGTATACCTTGCCCGTTAGCTGTCCTGACTACCCCACCCCAACACAGAGAGACTCCAGAAGCAATGACTGCAGTTAAAATTCACCTTTGGGTGATGAGGGAAACTAAGCATCAGCGAGCAGTTTTCAAACCACAGAAACCTAGGAGAGCGATTTAATGAAAACTGATCGGTTTTCTCTGGAGGATGGCTTTGGGAGGATTCATGGATGTGATTTCAGAAGGAGGCATAACAGAAATAGTAACTGTCAGCTCGCTTTCATCTGTGCTTAATTTTGCTCTTGGTACTGCTGAAGGCAACGTTACAAGTGTCCCCCACATATTTGTATGACTGTATTTGAGAAATTTGGCATGAAATATCCAGGGCATTAGAGGGGTGAAAGCCAGGAAACACTAGGCTGGGGGGGGGTAAGAGTTTGTAAAACATTTTGTTGAGAAGGGGACATTGGTCTTTCAGCAGCTCATGAGGGCAGAGGGCACAATATGCAAAATCTGCTCTTCACGGGCAGAGAATTGGTTACCGTTATTCCCATAGGATGTAGCAACACTTCTAGAAATTGTTGGTTTCTCTCATTAAATATTTAGTAGCACTGAAGTCACTTGGTTCTTCATAAAATAATAGCTACAATGACAGAGGGCATTTTTAATAGAAAACTCACTCATTTTCTAGTCATAGCCTTAATTTGTCTGTTTCTTTTCAGACATCGTGGGAAACAATTTTTCTTTGTGATTTTTGTCTTCCATTTATAGTACACTTATTTATAGTTCATTATCTTTTAGTTATGAATAGAGGGATTGATTTAAAACCAGCTGGATTACCCTAGCATGCAACAGCTGGCATTGAGAAATTTCAGTTGAGGTCCCATAAAAATACGGATCCATTTGCACATTTGGAAGATACAAAAGCTTTTCTAGTTGTGTTTTGTAACTTTCTATATCCATCACCATGACATAATCGGGGCAAGAGCAGCTGTGGCTCACAAAGCAGCGCAAACCAGGTGAGCACCGCTGCCACTGTGAACGGGCGCATCTGAGCGCCTCGTTGAAAAGGTGGTCGTGCAATGGGTGAAAACTCTCTCTGAAGGTAAATATCTCTTGCATTGGAGCCACCCGTCCACCTTTGGAAAGACCCAGCTCGTTTTGTGAATGACCTTGTTGCCCAGAGTTTGTACAAAAGCAGCTGCTGAACGCATCCAGTGATATGTAGTGGTGCAGCAATTATTTTCCTCCACAGATGCTTTAAGTCACCCATTCCACAATGCACACAGAGGGATTTTAAATGAGGAGGATGCAGGCTAACACCGGTAATCTTTGCGTTAAATGTTAAACTTTTACCAAAAGAGTAGCGTTTTAGCATGGCTGTAGACCTGAAATAATTTAAACCATTTCGGTTCTATAGACGATATACAAAAATCTGCTCAGACAGACGAAGAAGGGGAGCTGAATCCTATGAATTCGTTAAACGTGGAGTCCTTGAAATTGCCCTTTAACACCCATAAGATGAAACCTACAACTCTTTTCACTTATGAGCCATAGGGGTTAGAAGAGACTATCCCATCATTGCAACACAGACATAGAAAACAGATTGGCGTAGCCTTCCTTTAGCAACGCGTGGTGTCCATGATTTTCTACTCATCTGGTTAGGAAACATACCCATGTCAAGGAAAGGAGAAGACCAGCTTTGTAAGTACCTTTAAATATGCACAACTCCTTTCTTGAACAAAGCTGTATCCATACATTGCAGTCATCCTAAATGTGTTTTACCAAGGCCAAACACTGCTCTCGTGTTATCTTTTATGACTTCTTGAATATTTTATTATGCCTATGGTAAGTTTCCCTGTAGAGACGTTCATTGTGTCATAGATCAAGCAAATATTACTTTTTTAAGAATATTTAAAAAAACCTGTATATATCTGTTCAGGTAAATATCCTTGAGGCTGGTTTATATATAGGCTGTGAAAGATGTGTAACAGACCTCACTTCTTCCTGTTTGTTGCAAAATATTGGAATAGCGTTCACTTGAAAACTCCCACTTGGACCTTCCAAAGATGTTCCCGTTCTTCCCTCTTCAGCCCAAGTTCTGGTGATGTGTTTTCTAAATTATCCTAATGGTTATATATCATACTTAGAAAATGAAGTACAACTTAGATTGTCCACACTACTTGTGAACAGTTCCAATGACAGTCAAATCTGACATTAAAGTGCTGCACATTTGTTACTCTGATTTTTTTTTATGACACAGAAATTTTATATATACTCAAAAAATGTTTCAACTCATTTTTGCCTTTCAACTCTGCCAAAAAGAGACTACATTTCCTTACTTGCGGTTTCTTTCTCACTCTCTTCGTGTTCTCCACCAATTTGCTCTTAATTCCTAGCTAATAAATTAATTAACCACAGTGATTAATTGAAATGAATTTAAATTTAATTAATGACCATTTAGTTATCCTATAACACTGATGTATCAGTTGGGTATTCTGACACTAGAATCATGGGAAAAACATAGTCCCTTGTTGACCATAAGACTCTAGTCCAAAGATGAGCTGTATTTTCCATTCATTGTTGAGGTTAAACAGCAGTATCATGGAAATACGGTTTCGTCTTACTACTTCCCTCAATATTTTCACTTTCTGAACAAATGAGAGTTTTTACTTAATATCTCTAAACATGCAGTTCAGTGACTATTTAGAAACCGTCCACTTTTTTTTTTAAATTGGAGAGAATACCCGGAATGCCTTAATTTGGAATCTGTGATAATAATTAACATGTTATTATCATTTAATACTTTGATTACTAATTTTTTTTTTTACTGCTAAAAAACAAATCAACAAAAGTCCCAAAAGATTTCAGTGGGCAGAGGTGGGCATGCCCACGGGATGGGTGGGAGACGGGCCAGTTGCTGGGCTGCTGGGTAACCCCTGCAACAGGGGCTTAGCGCGGGGGACTCTTGAAAAACACTTCACCTGCCCTGAAGGAGTTTGGCCCTTGCGCTGTGTTGACCTCCGTGAACACAGCTTTGCCCAAGAGACACGAGAGTCCTGACGACCCGTCGGCAAATACTTATTTACTTGATTTATGCCATTATTAGGTCTTAATTACTAGAGTGCCCGGTAGTGTGCTAGGTAGTGCATAAAATGGATAAAAAGGCCAAGATCTCAATTCTGTAGGGAGATAGTGGCTAATTCACTGTTTGACCTCACAGCAGGTCAACAAAATGAACAGGAAAGCAGGAGCTGAGGCTGGGGGAGACAGAATCACAGAACCACAGAATCACTAAGG